CGTGTTATTACTCGAATTTAAACAGTTAGGATGCATGTAATTGATAAAAATAGCTCGTAACTTCTCTCTTTCTCAGTTACTAATTAAGATAAACAAGTTTTGTTATAAACTCAAGCTTATTAAACATAACTATTTTTTCACCATTTCATTCCAATGAAAATAAAGATCATTATTCAAGTTTTACCGGAACTCAAATTTAAACACTACTGGTATATTTATATTTAATTTTTCATGAGTTTTTTAATTAATGGTTCATCTTCATTTTTCTCGTATTGAAACCATAAAATAGTCATTATTCTTTTTTTTTTGAATGAATGTTATTCAATCAAAATCTAGTTAGTATTAGTTCAATGTTTTTACTTTTTGGAGAGATTTAAGTTTCTTTTTATTTAATGAAATATTCAATTAGTGTTTACCTAATATTATTGTTGTGTTTAATAAAATGAAGAATGCACAACTTCGAGAAGAGCTAAGGAAGTCGAACGAAGATAATCAAAGACTAAAGGAAATGCTAAGTCAAACAACCAACAACTTCAACTCCTTACAAATGCAACTTGTTGCTGTCATGAGACAACAACAAGATCATCATCACCTGGTAATTAACACTCTAATCCATCTTATCTCTTAGCTAAATCAACAATTTGAAACAAATATCGATTAAAATCCTCCCAAAAATAATTAGTTAAGGTGCTAAACTTGTTTAACTCAGGCTACGGTTGAGAGCAAAGAGAAAGAAAAGAAACGACATGAAGCACCTGGAATGCTTCCGAGACAATTCATGGATTTGGGACCGTCCTCTGCTGAAGCATCTTCTGAAGAAAGGACCGCGGTTCGGTCAGGATCTCCGCCATCGATTTTAGAGAATTCTAACTCACGTCAGGGCGGAAAGAGATTTCTTGTAAGGGAAGAAAGCCCGGATACTGAATTTAACGGCTGGGGAAACCCTAACAAACTTCCAAAACACCATGCATCCTCCAGCAATTGCAATGGAAATGGAAATGGCAATGTTATTGATCAATCGGCCGCTGAAGCAACCATGCGCAAAGCTCGTGTCTCGGTTCGTGCTCGATCCGAAGCTCCCATGGTAACAATAGTCTCCCTCTCTAGCTAGTGTTTAAAGATTTTTCTGTTTTAAATGTTTTGGATGTCAATATATTAACCCTGCTGAGGTCTTGTTTTACAGTTAAGCGATGGATGTCAATGGCGAAAATACGGACAAAAAATGGCTAAAGGAAACCCATGCCCTCGAGCTTATTACCGCTGCACAATGGCCGTTGGATGCCCCGTTCGCAAGCAAGTAAGTTACTTAAACCATTCTGGTCTAGATTAGTACACAAGTTTTTACCTCGAAATTTAAAGTTCTAAGATTAAGTTTAACTTTGATTCACAATCCCATTTATAAAAAAACAAAACTATACACATTACATATATGTTGTATTATCCATTCATTACTGATTGATTTTGAATTGAAAATCCATGAACCTTAATAAATTAGACCAAGTTTGGACCTATTGTCTCATTGCAACATCTTTGTATACTCATATATATATGTAGTTATAAACATTTCAAATATCTAATATGTTTTAGGGTTTAATTCAAATGTACAATATGTTGAATATTAATGTATTTCTAACTAACTAATGACCTCAACAGGTGCAACGTTGCGCAGAAGATAGATCAATCCTCATAACAACCTACGAAGGAAACCATAACCATCCACTACCTCCAGCTGCTATGACCATGGCTTCAACCACAACCGCAGCCGCAAGCATGCTCCTTTCTGGCTCCACAATGTCGGGCCAAGACGGTTTAATGAACCCAACAAATCTCTTGGCACGAACCATGTTGCCTTGTTCCTCAAGCATGGCCACTATCTCAGCCTCAGCACCATTCCCAACCATTACATTAGACCTCACTGACTCATCCAACGGTAACAATGCAACCAACAACAACCCGTTGATGCAATTCTCTCAACGGTCTGATTTCGCCGCGGCGCTAAACCAGTCGGTTTTGCTTCAAGTGATGGGTCAGGCCATGTATTATAACCAACAACAGTCCAAGTTCTCGGGTTTATCTCAGTCGCTAAACGCTGGCGAGAGCGTTAGTGCCGCTACTGCCGCTATCGCTTCGAATCCGAACTTTGCAGCCGCTATAGCCGCAGCAATTACGTCTATTATCAATGGTTCAAATAATCATCAGAATGGCAACACTAATAACAGTAACGTTACGACGAGTAACGTTGACAATAGGCAATAACATTATTTTATATGTTTTAGTTAGGGTTTTTTTCTATGCTCGGTTTCTTTTTTTGAACTTGTTGCATTTTTTTGCGTTGTAGTTGCGGCTTTTTTTTCTTTCCCGAACAACAAGAGAGATCTTGAGAGCAATTTTTTTCTCGTTGCTTGTGTATGATCGACTATTTTGTTAAGGAATATGAATTGCCAAAATTTTCCAAAAAGTCGTATATCAAGCTCCTTTCAGATCAAGAGGAGATAATTCACCCCGGTTATATACTAAATGCTATGGTACAAAAAATGGTTTGATTGGTCTAAATCAGGAAACGAATTCTCTCATATGATGAAATGTTGATAATTGTAGACGTTTTGACTTTTGAGAGGTAAAAGAATCCGAATTTAGACGAATTTCAAAAATTAATTTCGATATCGGCTTAAGATTCAACCCGATTATTAAAAAAGTTCAAGTGGAATTTTAACATTTCTTGAAAACTTGTGGTGAAGATTGGGCTAGTTTTTTTGGAAAGTGAAGAATGAGTCCAAGCCCAAATAGAATCCGAGACAAATTGCACCATTAGTATTAAATAATGGTTAACACACTAGTAAAGTTAAAGGGGTCAGACTGAAACAAAAATAAACCTTAAGGGACTAAATATGAAAAGTTGAAACTTTAACGAAACGTTTATGCGAAGTGTCAACAACGTGAAGGCGTTTGCTTGTGCTACAAATCAAAGCAACCTTTATATTTTCCATTTGCAGCAAACACCAATCAAACAATCCATCTTTTTATTTATTTGTGCCACAAAATAATCACTTTAATTTTTAACACATTTCTTGTGAAAGGTTAATGTATATACTATTTAAATATTTCTGTAATGTAAATAGGGTAACTAGTAGAATCAAAATTATAATAATGGTTAAAAAGTTGATTGAAAGACGTTACTCTGTAAGAAAAGAGTATTACTAAGCTGGACACACGCATATATAGGTTCATCAACGTGAATCATAAATCCATCGAATATCTTCGCAACCATAAATCACATATTTAAATATTAACTGATTACCAAATTTACAATTATCATATAAAAGTAGAATTAAAAAAAATTAAAACTCATTTAACAAAAAAAAAAAAAATCTCATGGCCATTTTAAATGTTTCGGTTTTCTTTTTATTTTTTTCTAAAATTT